GAGCTAATCACTTGATGAGATATCAATGTGCGACCTCCTCCTCCCCTGTCGACGGCTTGGGAGGGAGGGTTTGCAGGCACCCGATCTCACACAGAGGTCTGCCCCCAGCTTCGAACTCTTCGAACTCCGAGGGTCGAATCGGAAACAACGTATTCACGTACTCTGTCGGAGATCCGCGCGGAGCGCGCCGATGGTGGCGCCAGAGGCGCCGCCAGGGGAGACCCAATCCCGATCCAGGAATTCCACGCGGACCTCCGAAAGTTGATGTGGCAACCCGCAGTTGCGGATGACAGTGAGGGGGCGGGCGCGGGTTGGGTCGCGGGTGGATCCCCAGGTGGGTCGCGGGATGGGTCGCGGGTGGGTTTTGGGTGGGTCGCGGGGTGGGTCGCTAGAAGGTCGCGGGGGGTCGCGGGCGAGTGTGACGACAACATCAAGCAGCAACAGCAACAAGCAACAAAAATCAGAGCCAAGGAATTCCACTTCAGCCGCGCACCCAGGGACAATGAATGATCATTCGGCCCCCTCACTCTAATGATCATGCTGTTTGTTTGTCCTCTGGATCCTCATCCTCCTCCTCCCTCTCTTCCTCTCCGTTTTAGTCTGTCACTTTTCTTCGAACCATCATTATCTCGTCCGACTCCCGTAGCTTGTCGTCAATGGCTAGGCTGCGCATACGTGCGCGCCGAAGCGACTGCTTTTTTCCGACGGGTTCGGACTGCCATTTCCCCCCGCGGAGGTGGAACGCTCAGTAAAATAATGCTCATCCTCGAGAGGAGGATAGGAGGCGGAGGAGGAGGAGGAGGAGGAGGAGGAGGAGGAGGAGGAGGAGGGGGAGGAGGAGGAGGAGGAGGAGGAGGAGGAGGAGGAGGAGGAGGAGGAGGTGGAGGAGGAGGTGGAGGTGAAGGTGGAGGAGGCGGAGGAGGAGGACCTCCTGCGGGTGCCAAACTCATGGGAGGAAGGCAGCCAGCCCGAACTCTGCCTTCGGCGCCCCGGGAAGGCACAACACCGAGGCGGGCGCGCCTTCTGTTCGAGGCCGGCTTCCGCGCCGCTGCCGGCCACGGCCACCCATGGAGGAGGGGCACGAGGAGGACGACGACGAGGAGGAGGGAGGGACGACGAGGACGACGACGGCCGGGGAGGAGGAGAGGGGAGGAGGCCAGGGAGGGCGGTGAGGAAGAGGGAGGGACGACGTCTAGGGAGGGGGGGGGGGGAGGCTTCCCTTCCCCGAGCAGTGCTGGAGTCTTTTGGGGTGTTGCTTCCCCTCTGCTCCAGGAGCCGTATGGGGGCAGTGCGCAGAAGCTTCTCGCCCGGTGCCCGCGCGTGGGCGCCTCGTTGGGGCGCCTCGTGGGCGCCCCACGCCCGGGGGGTGCGCCGCGGTCCTGCGCTGGGGCCCGCCCTCGTGGGCGCCTCTTGTGGGCGCCCCGCGGGCGCCCTGTAGGCGCCTCGGGGGTGCGCCGTGGCGTCGCCTGGTTTGCAGGAGGAGGAGGAGGAGGAGGAGGAGGAGGAGGAGGAGGAGGAGGAGAGGAGGAGGAGGAGGAGGAGGAGCAGCAGGAGGAGGAGGAGGAGGAGAGGAGGGAGGAGGGATCGCCTGGTCCCCGCCCGTGGGCGCCCGGTGGGCTCCACAGATCTTGGGCCCGCGGGAGCCTGCGAGCCGCGCGCCCCCTCGCGTGGCCTCCTCCTCCTCCTCCTCCTCCTCCTCCTCCTCCTCCTCCTCCTCCTCCTCTGTGTGGGGTCAGTGCGAAGCAGAGGCTCACGCCGTGTGGCTCACACCACGTCTGTTGCACCGCAGAGCGATCTCCACGGAGGACACACGACATGGCTGTCACAGCCTGCCGCAGATCACAGAGCTCTCAGCCCATAGCTTACACAGCCTAGCTCGGACCGCATTGCTCACGCCGCATAGCTGTCGCCGCATCGTCTACACTGCATAGTGTACACCACGTAGCTTACATCCCGTAGCTTCCACCACGTAGCTCTCACCATCGCTCAAGCAGCATACTTTACACTACGTCGCTCACACACAATTGTCATCACCACGTATATTACACCGCATAGGTTGGACCGCATAGCAGCCATGTGCGCAGTGTAATACGTTACTGTTTGGGGTGGGTACCATACGCATGTATCATTTCTCCGTGTGCCGTCCTTCTGTCTGAAGTATGTTTCTCTCCCCCTCCTCCTTCCGCCTCACAGCTCTCCTTCCTCCTCCGTCCTCCTCCACCTGCTGTTTCAAAGTGCGTGTTCTGTCAGGTCCACGGCGGATCACGCGGAGTCTTGGTCCATATTGTTCGAATTTGCGTTTCGCGTGCGGCACAGTGTGGCGCGGAATTAACTGGGGGCATGCTTCTCCATGGGACCATGTGGGAAATGATGCTTGTTTCTTCATGCTGCTTGAAATCGTCTCAAATCGGGCCCTGCTCATGGAATCGGATCCGTCGCATATGAGGGGAGCGACAGCGCGCAGGCTACCCGTCAAGTATTCCCAGCTTGGCGCTGCGATCCAGTTGTCGAGAATAAGATTGGCTCGGTCCTGTTCCCGGTTATGCGCCCAGAAGGTCTCGCCCCCTGAGCTACACCGCCAGGTGCAGCCACTCGTTTTACACCGTTTCTCGGACCACAAAGACCTGACCCCATGAGTTGCGCCTCGTCAGCAGTTCCCAGCGCGCTGCCCAACACGCTCCGCTCTTGGCAAATATGCTGCACCCCAGTGGTCCACCTCCCAGAAGTTGTACTCCTTGGCTTGCGCGTCGCTGGATACGTCCCACCTCTTGCGCCCCATACGTTGCACAATATCGACCATAGACCGCACCCCTCATGCACTGCTTCCAAGTGGCTGCACCCCGTTGATTCTCCTTTCTAAAAAGAAAATAGACTCTACCCCCCCCCTGGCGTTATCGCCCCCCCTTTCAGGTACGTAAATCACATATGATTCTGACCACGTGTCCATCCTAAATATGAAATCACAATGTCCCAGGCCAACAGGTATCCCCCCCCTGAGGTTCCTTTTTTTTTTAAAAAAAAAAAAAAAACTATGCGGTGACATTTTTTTGTTCTAAAGTAGCACTTTATCACGAATCCCTTGCAAAAAACGGGACGAAGTGCACACGCGCGCGTCGTCGCGCGCGCATGCCGAAATCCTTCAAAAACCTTCGGTGCCGGAAGGATTTCGCAATCGCGTTTCCCAAAAACATGCAAAAGCACAGGTTTTCGTAACATCGATGTGCTAAAAAAGCTTGCGCGCGAGCTCTTGCGAAATCTTAAGAAAACCATTGGGTTTTCAATATTTTCACAACATGCTACCAAACGGGCGTTGCGCGCGCATGTCGAAATCTGTCGAACGCCCTTCCGCGTGTGCCGTCGCGAGGAATCCTCTGCAAAAAAATGGTACGAAGTGCAGACGCGCGCGTCGTCGACCGCGTACGCCGAAATCCTTCAAAACCCATCGGTTTCGGAAGGATGTCAAAATCACGCGCCCCAAAAACCTACAAAAACACAAGGTTTCGCAACACGGATTTTCAACAAAAACGTGCGCGCGCGATCTTGCGGCGTCGTCGTCGTCGTCGTCGCCGTCCTCCCTCCTCCCGCGTCGTCGTCGTCGTCGTCGTCGCCTACGTCGTCCTGTGTCTTTCCTCGTGTTCGTCGTCGTCGTCCTCTTTGGCGTCGTGGTCGTTTCCGTCGTCGTTGTCGCCGTGGTCGTCCTTCCTCCTTCTCCCTCGTCGTCGTCGTCGTCGTCGGCGTCCGTCGTCGGCGTCTCGTCGTCGTCCCTCCTATTTCGTCGCCGTCGTCGTCGTTGTCGTCGTCGTCTCGTCGTCGTCTTCCCTTGTCCCTCGTCGTTGTCGTCGTCGGCGTCGCCGTCCTTCCTCCTTCTTCGTCGTTCGCGTCGTCGCCGTCCTCCCTCCTCCCTCGTTGTCGTCGTTATCGTCGTTGTCGTCGTTGCCGCCGTCGTCGTCCTCCCTCCTCCCTCGTCGTCGTCTTCGTTGGCGACGTCGTCGTCGTCTTCGTCGTCGTCGTCGTCGGCGTCGGCGTCGTATTCTTTGTCGTCGTCGACGTCGGCGTCGTCGTCGTCGCCGCCGTCGTCGTCGTCGTCGTCGTCGGCCGTCGTGCTTCTCCGGCCTTCTTGGGGCGCTCTTGAGACGACCCCGAGGGCTCCAAGACGACCCCGGAGCGATATTTGTGCTCGGTCCCGCATGGGTTTTGCAAAAAAAGTTGCGGGTGGGTGGGTGGGATGATTGCGCGAGCAGTGGAGTTGACAACTTCAAGTTCGGCAAGTGAACTGCACTCCGTAAGGTGCGCCACCACAGGCGCGCCCCACGAGCTGCACCCCGCAGTGTAAACATCCCGTCTTCTTATACTCCGTGCCAGCCGGTGTGTTATCTCCCTCCCCGGGTGCAATGGGTTCTGAGCTGCACCGTCTCATTGGCTCGCCTTCTGCACTGCTGCACTGCCTCCGCTCCGCTGCCTGCGGTGTGATCTGTCCCAGGGCGGAGTTTGTGCATGTCCACTTGCCTGTGGATCCGACCTCCCTGGACCTCGGGAGGCGATGGGCGGTGTCTATTGGAGCTTTCGCCCTCTTTCCCGCGGCCCAAATCTATTCGCATCCGTCGCCCCCCTGAGGTCTTGGGAGGGCGGTGCCCCAGGCGGCGGGTGTGCATGAGTTCTGGCCTCACGTGATGGGCAGGAGGAGGACGAATGGCCACTGCCTGACGCGTGAGCAGCACCTCTGCGGGAGAAGAGTGCGTAGAAGAGATAGCAGAGAGTGAGGAGAAGCTGCGGGAGAGGAGTGAGCAGCACCTTTGCGAGGAGCAACTGGGAGGGCTGTCGTGGTCTGCGAGGCACCCCTTTTGGTGCTCTGGTTCCTGCCGCCGCGGCTCGTCATCGCGCCCCGCGCTCTCGTCGATCTCGTCCTGCCAACCGCTGCCAACCTCCTGCCTCTTCAGCTGCGTCGGCCCAAAGTCCGAACGCGGGCAGCCACGCGGGTTCGGGCGGCAGCCGTCAGACGCATGTCTTGTACGGCCCCCAGCAATGCCGACGGCTTGAAGCTGGGTGCGCCCGAGCCCACGATGGCTGCGGAGCCGACACTCCCAACCCCCGGGGACCAGCAGCACGGCGAGGCCGCCTCTTTGGTGCCGGTGCTGCGGGTGACGGTGATGTCGTGGTGTTTCCAGTTCCTTCTGGACCTGCTCTGGATCCCCCTCGCCGCGTACTTCAAGGACAGGGGCCTGAGCCTGCGCTTCCTCGGCATGGTCTTCGCCGTGAACCTCGGCGTTCGTATCGTGCCCAATGTGCTCGCGACGCAGGCAGGCGTTAAGAGCGACCTGGTGTGCATGGCGTGCGGTCTGGTCTGCTTCAGTGTCAACTACGTCTTCCCAGATGACACGTGGGCCATCTTTGTGATGGCTGCTGGCGGAGGACTGCTGGGGGAGGGGTGGCACGGGCAACGCAGGAGGTGATTGGCTCAGGGGGGACCACATCGACCCCCAATCGCCCATTCCTCGCCGACAGGGGCCCGATGCGCCCTCCCCGCTCAGGACCGTGCGGACACTTGCCGTCGGCTGCCCATCTCCGATCTGTCGGCTGCGTGTCGCCGGGCGCAGGCCGGCGCATCCCGCCCTGAGCCCGTGCCCCCCCGACGTGGCCCACCAGGTGGCCTGTGAGGGGTGGACCGCACGTCTTGGCGTCGCAGCCACGCGCGCAGCGGCGCGGTGTAGGAAGGAAGGGCGGGCAGACGTGTGCGGCCGGCCCCAGCGCACGCGGCGTGGAGGCACCGGGATGCGCCCAGCACTGGAGGATCGGCAGCAGCACTCGTGGGGGGGGGGGCGGGGGGGCACGCGGCAGGGGAGCAGCGAGGATGGGTGACGGGGAGGGCGGGGAGAGCGGGGAGGGACGGAGACCAGAGCAGCGCGCGGCGCCAGCGACAAGGATGAGGACACACACGCACACACTTATGCACACGCGTCTCCTGCCTCCGCAGCGTTTCACCCAAACCTGGTCGTCTACTGCTGGCAGGGCGCGCTAGCACAGACAGCATCCGCACGCGAGGCGATTGCGCTCGAGCAGAGGCCGTGCTCTCCCGTGTCAGGGCCCCCAGGGCGCTCTTGGTGAGGCGAGGTTGTTGGAAGAGATCCTCGAAGGCAAGAGAGCACCCCAAAGCCGATCATATGTTCGAAAACGACGAGAAGGCCCGTGGAGGAGGACGAGGAGGAGAGGGTGGAATCCCGGCGAGGAGGAGGGGGAGGAGGAGGAGGGGGAGGAGGAGGAGGAGGAGGAGGGGGAAGAGGAGGAGCTGGAGGAGGGGGGGATGTTCAAGCACTTCTGGATGCCCCCCAGCAAGGTGGAGCTGGCGGAAGGCATCCCGAGGCGAGAAAACCAACCAAGAGCAGAGGAAGTTTGAGACACTGCTTGTGTGCTGCGTTCTGTCGCAACGTGGACACCCAGACCATCAGGGCTCGGGCCTTGCAATCTTTTCACACTGGGCCTTTGCGCTCAGCGTCGGGCCCTAGGACTATAACAGATCGATCTAGCTCGAATGCAGCAGAAACAGAAGGTCTGGAGCTCTGGCTGTGTTTTTTCACGATGCTGTACGTCGGATCTCAGAAGATGTCTACTCTATGTGGGATACTAATCGAGGGGTGGGTGACTAATCTGCCGACGGAGCTTGCCCATCCCCCCCCTCCACTCCTCCTCCTCCCCTCCTCCTCCTCCTCTCCTCCTCCTCCTCCTCCTTCCTCCTCCTCCTCCTCCTCCTCCTCCTCCTCCAACCTCCCCTCCACACGTTCCGACAGCACGTGCCCAACCTCCAGAGCGGATCCAGGGGGGGCGGGGGGGGGCGACTCTTGCCCCGTCCAGACTAGACCCCTCCCTGGGAACCAGCTGTTCATCCAGGGACGGGCGGGCCGGAAACTGCGGGCGGAGGCCGTGCCGAGGGGGGGGGTCATGCGGAGGAGGCCGCCCTTGGACGGGGCCAGGACGGGGGCAAATCCGTTCCCGAGCGTTCCGGAGCGCTTCGAGAAGGCCGCGGCGCCCGAGACGTCCTCCAAGGCCGCCGGCTCTCAGAGATTCTGGACGCATCCCTGCCCGAATGCCTCTGCCCTCCTCTCTTGGCCTCGTCTTGCGAGGGGGGGCGGCATGCGGAGGAGGCCGCCCGGCCGGAGGAATGTGCTTCGTGCGCGCGCACCTGTCCGTGCACGCCAAGCTGGCGGCCCGCGGCTGCAAGGAGAACCTGAGCCTGGCGGCCAAGTGGTCCGGTGCGGCCAGGAGCGGAAGCGGCGCGAAAGACAGGGGTCTGCCGCTGCCGCCTCGGATCATCGAGAATAACAGAGCCCCTAACCCGAACAACACGATGAAGACGTGGCCTCAGTGAGGTCCCCGCATTTGCATTAGGGGAAATATATTTGGGCGGCGTGGTCTGATACATCTGCAGCAGCGACCTCCGATCCCTAGTGTTTTCTGGCCATCCTAGCTTTGGTCCCCTCCCAAAGGGTTAGGGGGCCTTTTCTTGGTTAATCGAGGGATGGGGGAGGAGCGAATCAGGAACGAGAGAAGGACGTGCACGTGCACGAATCCACGTAGTTTTTGAAAGTGCGCGCAGCGCTGGTAACACGAGGCAGGCCTCGCGGACCGGCGGGCCGTATTCACGTACGTGGAGGGGCGCGCACGTCTTCGGTGTGCTCCCTGGCGAAGACGAGGAAAGGCGTGGGAGTTTCCCAGCGGTTGCTTGAAGCCCTCTTGGATTTCACACAATTTCTCGCCTCGGGGTGCTGTCCAGCGGCAGCGCCTCGCCGAGAGCGTTCCAGGGGCACCCGGGTCGTCCCTCTACAGGAGGAATGCTCGAAAATAGTAAAAAAATAGTTCTGGGACGACTCTTTTTTATTTTCGATTGTTTTGGAGCATTTCAGGGGTACTTATAATGTTTCGTCCAAGATCCGCCTGTAGAGGGTCAGGCCCGACCAAGCCGTAGGCCCATACCACGGCCCGAAAGCAGTTCGGACCCCTCGCGTTGTGAAAACATTGCGACGGGAGGCTTCTCTCTGGGGCCCTCTCCCGGAACCACTTTGCGAAGCACGTGCGGTGTCAGAGATCCGGGAACGGCGGGGATGCGTCACGATCCAGCTCCCGATCTTCTTCATCCCGACGTCGCGAGTGCATCAACACTGCCGAGCTGTCCTCCCCCCCGGCTGATGCGGCTCAGTGAGGCCGGTCTCCGCCTCTTCCTCGCCTCCTCTTTGCCCTCCAGCCCCGCCCGCTCTGTCCGTTTCGGCCTGGTGGGCGGCCCTCGCGTCCGCGGGTGGACGCTGCGCAGAGAACCGGCGGAGGTGCGCTCCGGGGAGAGGTCGGGGGGCCGATCCGATGCGCAGGGGGGCGGGGCAGCTGGGGCAGCCAGGAACTTCGGCACCGTCGTGGCCTTCGTGGTCCCAGTGATGGTCTATCCACCAGGCCTCTGCGCCGTTCCGGCGACCTGGGCAGGGGGTGGCGGTCCCCCAGTTGACCCAGGCTTCGGTCGAGCCTGCCCCCTCCCCAGGGCCTTGCCGTGCTGCCATGGGGAAGTGGGAAGAGGTTCCTGGGGTCCCCCAAGCTGGAAAAAACTATAGGCGAAACAACATTACAAACAACCTCCTCATCCTCCTCCTCCTCCTCCTCCTCCTCCTCCTCCTCCTCCTCCTCCTCTTCCTCCTCCTCCTCCTCCACCTGGACTCCATCTCCTCCCTCCTCCTTCTCCTCCTCCTCCTCCTCCTCCTCCTCCTCCTCCTCCTCTTCCGTGGGAGCCCTGCGCGGATGATGTCTTGGGTCGCGCCACAGAGCGTTCTTGGTGGCGCCAGAGGCGCCGCCCCTGGCGCGTTCCACGCGCCAGGGAGGGGGGGGGTCCCAGCACCGATCCAAGAAACCCAGCTCCAGCAGGAGGAGGAGTGGGAGGAGGAGGAGGAGGAGGAGGAGGAGGAGGAGGAGGAGGAGGGGGAGGAGGAGGAGCGGTGATGCCGTGGACAGCGGGACCGGGTCAGCTCCGCAAGCAGATGGTTGAGCAGTTGTTGTTGCTCTGAAGGAAAAACACACAAACACC